ACACTGCTCCCAGCTCCAGAAGTGAGTGCATCACCTCCCCGGGCAGTCCAGCCTGGGGCCTGCCCAAACACCAGCCTTAGGTAGCCTTCTGTACCCCAGCCACCACAGGTCCCCTCCTGAAGCTCCAAGAGGAGGGTACCGAGGTATGGACCAGGAGTGCTGGGAGCTCTCCCAATGCCTGAACCTGACTATTTCTGACCCTCTTTTCTCTCCAAAGCCCAATGGTCCCCAGACTCGGAATTGAGGGTGCTGTTGGGTGCCCGGCCTCTGAGCTCCCTACGTGCTGCCGTCATTTAGGGTGTGGGGGTGGCAGAAGCAACAGGAGCCTACCCTCCAGTGGAGCAGGGGGCCTGTTAGTGAGTCGGGGGGTGGTTAGAAGCCACAGGTCTTAGGAGCCGGTGGCTGCAGGTTGATGTGGGGTGGGCAGGCCACCGCTGGTTAGTGACTGAGCCCTTCTCACACGACCCTCCCTGAGATGCCCCCTTGACATCTGACTTCCGATGCAGCTGAGGGTTTCCACTCCCCAGGTGTCTTGGAGAGGGGATACCCACATGCACCTGCGCACGCACGCACACACACACTCTCACATGCTCCTAGCCCCCTGGCCGACCAGGGCATCTCTGCCAGTCTCTGCCCACAGACTCTGGATGGGCTCTTGGGAATGGCCGGTGGCACGTGATAAAGACTCAGCTTTGGTGGCCTGGATGCTGTTCTGGCCCACGTCATTGCCTCTCCACCTCTGAACTGGGGGCCCACACCTCGTGCCTCCAGGGTCCCTCACTCAGTGCCACTCTGCGCTCACGCTCTGGCTCCCAGAGCCCACGGCCATGTGAACCTCCTCTCAACACGCGAGTTCCCTTAAAACAGGAGCTCTGCCGGGTAGAGGCATGGCGACAGGCCCTGCACTGGAGTCTGCGGGTGCTGGCTGGCCGGTGGTCTGGGTCAGTCCCTCACCCCTTCTGAGACTCTGTCCCTTCTCTGTCTCAGACACCAGCCTCAGCCCTGCTTTCCTGTGCTCAGTGAGTTGTAGGAATCAGGTGGTGGGTGGAAAGTGTTTCCAGCCTTAGAAAAGGCCTCACTTCTTCTCACCTCCTTCCTCTGGGCCAGAGCCCTGACCCTGGGACTATCCCCAGGACCTTTCCCATGCAGCCCCAGGCATGGCCAGAAGATCAGAGTGGCCGAGGCAGGGATGGGCTGACTGTTTCTCTGCTACTCCCTGACCTCCTGACTCCATGCGTCTGCCCCACAGTCTCCTAACTCCCGGAGGAGCCAAACCATGTGGCTTTGGGCTTTCGTATGGCTTAACTTCCTGTGTCTGCACAGGGTGGGGAAGCAGCCAGGTGGCAGACAGAGCATAAGAAAGCCTCGTCCTTCCATGAGGTCTTTGGTTCATTATGGGAACAGCCGGTTTCCTGGGACACACAGGTAGGCTGGCCGTTGCCTTCCCAGGCAGTCTGAGGGAGGGCCCTGTTGCCAGGCAGCATGGAGCAGTGGCCAGGCAGTCGTGAAGGATCCAGGCCAGAGGTGCTGCCCCTTGGGAAGCCTTGCTGCAGCTGCACAGCACACCAGGCCTGCTAGGTGAAACCGGAAGTCTCCCCAAAAGCCCCAGAGTCAGCTGGCACCTTGGTTATTGAGGCTCACACTCAGCAGTTCCTGCTCATTTCCTCCCCAGGGGCCTGAAGTCTCCTGCCATCCTCAACAGAGATGCTATCACCGAGGGCCCAGCTGGAGGGGCTGTGGGAGGTCGCTATAGCCCATCCCCCCAGCGAGCCCTGAGGCCCAGAGTGGGAGGCCAGGGAGCTGGTTTCAGTGGAGAAAGCATTTGCTGAAGAGCTTGTTGTGTAAACAAGATTACAGAGGGATAAGCTGGGCAGAGCTAAGGGAACAAATTGTTTTAGGGACTGGGCAGACCCAAAGTCTCATCTAGTCATGAGAGAAGCTCTGCTCTTGGGAAACTGTTAACCTACAGTGCAGGTGAGAGGCCCACCTCCCCCTCCACGTAGTTGCACTTGGCCTCTGAAGGCCTCCATTACTTCTTCCGTAGGACAGGGCCCAGACACCATGACTCTGGCTTCTGCTGAAAGTCTTTCCAGTGTAGCTGAGGCTTGTCTGCCCAGAGCCCTGATCCCCTGCAGCTTTCTCCCAGGAAGGGAGTTGGAGCATCAGGAGAGGGTGGAGCAGAGGCCTCGGGTGAGAGTGAAGCTGTGGTCTCAGTGAGTGCCGGTGGCTGTTACGTGCTCCGCCTGCCTGGTGGGCAGTGCACTTTGTTGCTGAAGGACACAGACTCCAGGTAGGTTAGGGGCAGCTTCAAAGCTCTGTGGAGGCAGCATAGGTATTTGAAGTACCACCCCAGGATAATACAGATTGGGGGGTGGCCTGGGGTGGGGCAGGGGGCCACAGACTGACTATCCATTACAGATGGGCCATGAGGGACTGTGTTCATTGTAGATGGGCCGTGATGGACTATGTTCATGGTACATGGGCCACAGTGGACTGTGTTCGTGGTAGAAAGGCCACGGTGGACTGTGTTCGTGGTAGAAGGGCCACGGTGGACTGTGTTCGTGGTAGATGGGCCATGGTGGACTGTGTTCGTGGTAGATGGGCCACGGTGGACTGTATTCGTGGTAGAAGGGCCATGGTGGACTGTGTTCGTGGTACATGGGCCATGGTGGACTATGTTCATGGTACATGGGCCACGGTGGACTGTGTTTGTGGTAGAAGGGCCACGGTGGACTGTGTTCATGGTAGAAGGGCCACGGTGGACTGTGTTCGTGGTAGATGGGCCATGGTGGACTGTGGCTATTCATTGTAGTTGGGCCGTGATGGACTATGGCTATTCATTGCAGATGGGCCATGACAGACTATATGTGTCTAGAGGGGTCATAATGGACTGTGTTCATTGTAGGTGGGCCATGATGAACTCTGTCCATTCTAGATGGGCCAAGGAGGACTTTGGCTGTTCATTGTAGAAGGACTGTGATGGTAGACTGGCTGTCCCTGTAGATGGGCCACGGTGGGCTGTGGCTGTTCCTGTAGATGGACTGGGATAGACTGTGACTACTCCTTTTTGATGGATCATGAAAGGCCCTCTAGAGTTTACCCTTTCTCTTGGGGGGAGGGGAATGCAGTTTTGCTCTTTGCTTTCAGAGGAAGTTCAGTGTTATTTCTAGCCTTGTGGTTTCTACACCTGTCTGATGCATTCCTCTGACCTGGGCCCCTGGATCTGGAGCCTCCACCTGGTCTGACTCTGCCCCAGGAGGCCACACGTCTTGTCAGTCTCTCCTTGTTCTGATCTACTCCAGAGAAGGCCTGAGGGCCTGTGACCAGGACTTGGTGAGGCCCCTTGAGCTCTGCTTCCTGTAGCCCAACCTCAGTCGGGCCCCCCTGACAAGTTCGTGCAGAAGCTCCTGGTGAACTTCTTGCCTCCTGCCACCTCTTCTCAAGAAACCCTATGTACCTCCGCCTCTTTGCAGACAGACAGGCTTGCGTTTGTAGCTGCTCCATGCCCCAGACTAAAGCCCTGGTTACTGATGGGGGGCCCTCACCATGTGCTAGGCTCTGTGAGGTTCTTTACTTGCACATCTCATGGGCTTTTTACAGCACTCTTCCAATGTAGATATTTCTGCTGTCCCCGTCTCAGGGATGGAGCGACTAAGGCCATAAGAGATTTAATGACATCCCAGGGCTGTACAGTTCAGAGCTTGCAGAGGGCTGGGGTCTCCAGAGCCACGTGCTGACCCATGCTGCTCTGTTCCTTTGCTCATTCTTTTTTTTTTTTTTTTTTTTAAGGTTTTTGCCATAGGGTGCATGTGCTCTCTGCAGGATGGGGTAGGGGTGCGAAGACCCCCCAGAGGGGATGGCCACACTGTAATCCCCCTCCATTCTCCTTTCGGGATTCTGGGCACGCACACGCACATACCTGGCATGAGCTTCAAGCTGCCAGGTCTAGGACTTGAACCGCGGTTTGTCATGTGGGTGTGCAATGCCTTAACCACCGTGCTACCTACTGGCCCCTTTGTTCATTCTTTGTTCTGATCCCTGGAGGCCTTACAAGATGGACTGTGTAGCACGCGGTCGTTTGAGTAGTGACTTTGCTGAACAGGACTCTCGTAGCTACTACGCTGTCACCTGCTGCTGGGGCCTTCCTCCCCCACCTGCTGTCCAGGAGCCTGGGGTGGGGGCAGAGGTGGTCCTGCACACACCTGCTCAGCTGTGTGGGGTTGTTCTGTCTCTCCCAGCCCCTGACTCCTCTGCCTGCTGGTCAGCCCTAGCCTTGGGGACCGGGGACATGTTTGCACTTGGGCACCTGCAGCCTCTCAGCGCTGGCCAGGCAGGCAGCATTCCTGGGCTGCTGTTTGCAAATGGGGCCCATTTTAGGCCCTTAGCCACTTTTTGGAGCCTCCCTAGTGCAGGGCCCTTTTCAGATTAGCCTGCTCTGTCCCCAGTCTGATGAAGGCGTGCCCTTCCTTCCCCAAGAAGGACAGTATGTAAGCAGAGGGTCTGGTGGCAAGGCAGACTGCACAGCAAGGAGCACCGCAGAGGCCTGGGGCCACCCTGTGTGGGCAGCTCCCCCTGAGCCTCCCACACACACACACCTCCAGGAAGTCCTTGGGGTGCACACCTAGTGGCCAACATGCCTGGAAGCTGCCTCTTGCATGCAGGTTCTTAATTATTTCTGGGGAGGGGGTGCTCTTGAAAGCGCCTCAGTGGGGAAATATGAACTCCCTGGACCCTAGCTGCCAAGATCTGCTTCTCTGGGGGTGAGGGGCTCGATGGAGTTTCTTAGGGACTGCAGCCTGCGTTCCCAGTGACAGCTTCCCTGCCCATCCTTCTGCGAGGTCTGGGCATCCCCACCAGGCTGAGTTTCTCAGGGCGAGGGCTTGTGCCCTCATGTGTTCCCACACCCCTGCACCCAGCCCAGGCTGCGTCATGGACCTGGGTTGGGGAAGCCACACGCAGGGGCCTCCTGCATTGCTGTGATGTGTAGGTCAGGGAGCTCACTGACACCCTTTCTGATCTGATTCCAGCAAACCATGGCCATAAACGCGCCCCCTGAGGATCAGGATGGCTCCGGGGATGACTCAGACGTCTTCTCGGGCTCCGGTGCAGGTGAGGCTGACACACAGACCCCACTCAAAATGGCAACAGGCCGTGGCCGTGCCTGGGGTGGCGGTCAGGTGGTCTCCTGTGTTGACACCTCCAGAGTGCAGTGCACCCACTGCCCGCTCCAGCCTAGCTGGGTCTGAGGCGCAGTGCTGAAGAATGGGGCCCTGCTGCGAGGAGCTGCCTGGGTCAGGAGACAACACGGACAGGCTGGGGGTTCCGGGAGCCCCGGAGCTGCCCGCGGTGCAGAGACCCATGTCCTCCCTCAGCAGCAGGCGACCTGTGGAACCAGCCTTTGGAAGGCTCATTGACTCCGCCAAGCCTGTTTTCTCAACTGTAAAATGGGAAGAATACCTGGAACCCATTAAGTTGTTAGGAACCCTGAGCCGGCCCTGAGCCTGCTGGGGGTCAGACCTTTCCTTACCGCTCCCTTCCCATTTCCCTATTTCCCCTTTCCTTGAGAAGAGAAGTCCCTGGGCTGGAGGTGGTCAGGAAGGCCTCCTAGAGGAGGCAGCTCCTGAGTTGGTCCTCTGGAGGTGAGAGCTAAGAAAGAAGCGCCACGGTGGGCCAGCGGCCAGGGCGGAGGCCCGGGAGTGGGGAGGACACTGGCAGCTGCTGTTCTTGGGATCTGGGCTTTTCTGAGGAGAGGGTGGTGGGGCAGGCAGCTGTGCCCCGAGGGTGCCCACCCCACCCCTGTAGTCACAGGAAAGCTCCTGACGGCCTTGGCGTCTTCCAGCGACCAGGCTCTCTCCAGGCAGGGAGAGAGGGAAGGCCAGCTTTCCTGGTCCTGCTCTTTTTTATGTCCCAAGCGGAGTTTCTCTTGGCTAGTTGCACCCAGGGCCACAACGCCTTTCGGGAGCAGGGGTGCTGGCCCAGGCACCCAGGGGTTCCTCACAGCCTCTGCTCTGCTTCTGCCTGCAGGTGTTTTGCCAGACATCACCTCGTCACAGCAGACGCCCTCCACCTGGAAGGACATATGGCTCCTGACAGCCACGTCCCTGGCTCCAGAGCCCACCACCATGGATGCCCTGGCTGCCCCCACCTCCGCCCTGCCAGCCGAAGAGGGTCCCCAGGAGGAAAAGGTGGCGGTCCTGGCCGAAGTGGAGCCTGACTCCATCTCCCGGGAGAAAGACACCACCTCTTCATCGAGGGAGACCACGCAGCCCCCAACCACCCAGCGGGCCTCAACAGGCGGAGCCACCACAGCCCAGGCTCCTGCCACCTCCCATCCCCACAGGGATGTGCAGCCTGGCCACCAGGACACCTCAACTCCTGCAGAACCTGGCCAGCCCCGTTCTGAGGCTCCCAGCGTGGAGGACAGAAGTCCTTCTGCCACCGAGAGGGCTGCTGAGGAGGGAGCCTCCAGCCAGCTCCCAGCAGGAGAGGGCTCTGGGGAGCCGGTGAGTGGCCTCTGCACTCCCTGGGACTGGGGTGGCCCCTTGGGCCAGGCACCTGGCACGCCCAGCATTCTGGGCCCTGTGAGGATGTTGCATTCCCCACTCTGGCACAGGGTCCCAGCATCCCACCATCCCCCTGCGCCCGGGCCCAGAGCAGGATGGACTAGTTACGAGGGCGGAGCAGAGACTGGCAGAGAACAGGCTCCCCGAGCTTAGCCAGGCCCCCTGTGAGGGGAGTCCTGCCAAGACTCGTTTTACAATCTTAGTGCCTTACGGCCATTGTGCGCTTTCCAGTAAAATGAGCCTGTTTTACACAAAAATGGCTTTGTGTCCCTTGCTGTGGTATCTGTGCCACCATCCAGCCAGAGCCCAGCGTGATGGACCAGGCTCCTCTCACTTGAGCAGCTGTGCCTGTGTCCACAAACTTGGGCCATCGTGACATTGGAGGAGCTGGGTGAGCCTTGAGTCCTGCAGCTCAGGCTAGCGGTGGAGAGAGGACGGGGCAGGGGCACGGGCCACAGGGACCCAGGGAGTCTCCTCCTTGCTGGGATCAGAGGCAGGGACTGTTTCAGGTTTGGCAGTGGAGCCGAGTGGCCCAGCCCAATCTGCCATCCTTCCCGCAGGACTTCACCTTTGATACGTCAGGGGAGAATACAGCTGTGGTGGTGGAGCCTGACCACCGAAATCAGCCCCCGGTGGACCAGGGGGCCACAGGGGCCTCCCAGGGCCTCCTGGACAGGAAGGAAGTGCTGGGAGGTGAGTCGTCTCTTGGGGGTGGGAACTTGCTGCTCCGGCGTGGGGCTGGCCGCAGCCAGGGCCACCTCTTGGGCTGCCTGCCTGGGGAGGGACTGCTACTGGCCCAAGGAGTCACTGAATTGAGCTGGCCTCTGTCACCCACCCTAGGCGTCATTGCTGGAGGCCTCGTCGGGCTCATCTTTGCCGTGTGCCTGGTGGGTTTCATGCTGTACCGGATGAAGAAGAAGGACGAGGGCAGCTACTCCTTGGAGGAGCCAAAACAGGCCAACGGTGGGGCCTACCAGAAGCCCACCAAGCAGGAGGAGTTCTACGCTTGACGGGAGTGGCCCTCCCCACCCCCTCCCGCTCACTCGGCCCCCACTCACCTCTTCCATGAAGAACTGCAGGCCCTGACCTCTCCTGCCACCAATGTCACCTCCCCGGCCACCTCCCCAGCTGCCCCTGCACACGGAGTCCGGGGGCGTGCTGGGACCTCTCCTCTGCTTCTCTGACTTGCGCCTGGAGACTTGGGGCACTAAGGGTTTCTCGCATCTGGCCTTCCCCACAGCCGGCATCCCACCATTCCAACTGGGTTTCTCCAACTGGAGCGGCCTCTCCCCATGCCCAGCTCTGGACAGAAAGGGGACCCCACGGCTTCGGACCTGGATGGCCCGCTATGGTTGGAGGAGCCTGGGTGGGGCTTCGGGCTGACACCTCTATAGCACTTACTGGTAGAGACCAGCGGCAGACTGGGACGCGGACTGCTGAGTGGCGGGCAGAGGGGTCCGGCTCCGTCAGAATTCACTTTGTTTCACGGGGAAGTCTCGTTTAGCTACCGACTTGGTTTTGCACACGTTCCCTCTAGTATCTGTGTCCATAACCCCAGTAGACTTTGTTACTTCCGAGGTAAGTTAAGGACGTTGACCTGGAATTCCCCATCTTGCTTCCCTCATCTATGGTCTGGAGACAGCGTCGTTTTCTTGTTTTTGTTTTTGTTTTTGTTTTTGTTTTTAAACTAGGAGAACCAAATCTGGAAGCCCAAATGCCGGCTGAGTGTGTGTGTCGTCTCAGTCTGTCGCTCGTGTGTGCAACAGGGTATGGACTATCTGTCTGGTAGCCCCATTTCGGTGGCTCGTTGGGCTGGCCAGTCCAGGCCACCTCGGGGCAGCCGCCATGTTGAGCAACTGTGCCTGTGCCCATGAACTTGGGCCACCGCGACGTTGGAGGAGCTGGGTGAGCCTTGAGTCCTGCGGCTCAGGCTGGAGGTGAAGTAGGGGGTGCGGGCAGCCGGGGACCCAGGGAGTCTCCTGCAGATAGCGCCTCCTGCCTGCGACACCATCCCTGGGCACTTTGCCTCCCAGGCACCAACAGGAGGCAACTCGGGCACAGCTGCCCCGAGCCCTTTTCTTCCGTCAAGGACCAGGCTCACCCTTGGCTCCTGCCGCCCCGCCCTGGGCTGGATCAGGGACATTTTCCAAAGAGTGATAGTCTTTTGCTTTTGGCAAAACTCTACTTAATCCAATGGGTTTTTCCCTGTACAGTAGACTTTCCAAATGTAATAAACTTTAATATAAAGTAGTCACATGAACTCCATCGCCTCTGCTTTTCCCTGTGCGGGTCGTGCGGACGTGACCAGCTGCCTCCAGACTCCCCCAGCACTGGGAGGCTTGGCTCCAACCTCTGTGCCTTCATCCTGCCTGGGTGGTTCTGGGACCAGAGGCCCTCTGGTTGTATTTGTTTGTTCGTTCAGGCTAAAATTCTCCTGGCGGTCGCTAGGTTCAGCCAAGGTTTTATAAGGCCTGATGTCAGTGTCTGCGTTGCCAAGCTCAAAGTGCCGTCTCCTAATGGCAAGGAGGTGGAGACGCCCTGATACTGCCTGACCTGAGGCTGCTGGTCCTGAGTTGGGGGTTGGGGGAGTCAAGGCCAGCCTCGCAGGCACCTTGCATGGGCAGCCCACCGTGTGCCCTGTTGCTGGCCAGAGGCTCTGGTCCAGGGCTCTGGGATTCCTGTCCCTGGGTAATGTGACAGTGTCCCAGCTACTCCACTGGCTGCTCTGAGACTCACCTGGAGGGAAAGTGCCAGGGTGTGAAGGCACATGGCTCACGGTGGGAAGGGTCCCCGCCTATCGTCTGCTGGTAACTGCCATAACGGAGCATGTCATTGTGGATGGCAGACCTGGTGCGGAGGCTGGCCTCGGCCTGGTGATATCCTGTGCTGTCACCTTAGAGCAGGGGCCTGGCTCTGGGCTGTCTGTGCCCCTGCTGGGTCCAGAACAGCAGGGCGAGTGCTGGGCCCTCCCTGTGGGAAGGCTGAGTTTGTGGGCTCTGTCCCGTCCCGGGGCAGGCCTCCATCATTTCGCTCTTCCAGCCTTGAGCCCTGCTCCTCCTCCAAGGCTCTGACGAGACAGGTCTCTTCCCTCAGGACACAAGGAGCGCCCCCCTGCGCCCACCCCTGCACTCCGGCGGGCTTGCTGTGAACTTCACTCACTGCTATGCGATGCCCACACATGCGCCGGCCCACAGTCCCAAGCGCTGAAGGGCTGAGCAAGTCGCACACTAGGGGACAACATGGGGAAAGATGGGGTCGAAGAGCACGGTGCCTGCAGTTGCCCCAGGCCCTCCCTGACTAGGTCTCACACAGGCTGCTCCACTCGCCCCCAGTACCCGTCAGCCCCTGGCCTCAACCCCAGATAAATCACAGGCAGCGCAGTCCAGGAAGGACCATTCCTTCTTTGTCTCTGACTTGCTGATGGGGTGGCCACCAAGGGCTCACGGGAGGCCATTCTGCTGTCCCTCACACACTACTCTGAAGGGCTTGGGGGCTGAGAGGGTCCTCCAGGTCATTAATTCATTCAACCAACACCGAAAGCCAAATGCCTGTTTTCCATCTGCCCCTGGCCTGGCAGCGGGGCAGTGGTAGAACTGGCTGCCAAGGTGGCAGTACTTTTACTAACAAACATCCCCTCCACGTGAAGCCTGCAGTGTCCTGAGACCCCAGCCCCCTAGGCTACTCGCCCCTGTCCCAACTCTGTCCAACGCGTCTAACTGTTCCACATTCCTGCCCTGAGTCGGCCACCCAGGGCACTGCCAGGACAGGCTGCTGGACATTTGAGAGAAGCAGTGAGGAAGTAACGTGGAGGAGCTCAGGCAGGAGCTCCTCAGGCCCTGGCTTGCTGCCTGTACCCACGGCCTTCATCCCTCCCCTCAGCTCCTGCACCCAGGAAGAGAACAATCCAGCACAATTCTTTTTTTTTTTGCTATTGGTGTGTGCGCTCACTGGAGAGACAGAAAACAAGAAATCACCCCCCAAGAAGATTGGCCATTCCGCAATCCCTTCTCCATTCGGGATTTTGGATACGCGTGCACATATACCTGGTGTGAGTTTTAAGCCGCCAGGTCTGGCACTCGAACCATGGTTGACTTACTCGGTAGTCCAGCGACATAACCATTACACCATCTGCTGGTTCCCTGTCCACCTTTCAGATCACGCCCATAATGTGGCCTGGGTGTGCCTGTGAGAGAGAGTGGGCGCAGGCGAGTGTGTGTATGTGCGTACATGTGTGCACGTGCATGCGTGTGTGTTGTGTGGGGAGGGGACTTTCACTGAGTTTTCCACGACGCGGTCTTTCCCCTCGTTTTCACCGAGCTCTGCTCTCGGGTTGCGTTGCGGTCTTAACTTGCAGCTGGGCTCTGCTTTCCGTTCATCTTTGCCTTGCTCGTCTCTGGAGGCAGCCCCGGCTACCGTCTCACGTTCAGAATGCAGATCTGGGCTCGTATTCTGGCCCCTGCTTTCAGGCAGGCTGTGGCCAGAGAGCTGTCCAGGACATCCCTTGGTGTGTCTGGCTTGAGGCCTGGGTCACAGGAGGTGCCAGAGGTGATGCTGGCACTGGGTCTGGAAGGACACATGGGAATTGGCCTCTCCAGCCAGGGGAGAAGGCCTCCCAGAGAGAAGGCACAGCTTCGGCGGGGGTCGGGACCACACAGGCCTCATGCTGTGATGTGCAAGCAGGTGTGGGAAGGGGAGAGGCTGGGATGTGGTGAGGCCGTGGCTGTCACTCCACCCCTCTCTGGGGGTCCAGGGAGAGCTCCCAGGGGAAGGACTTGCGAGGACAGGGACCCTGAAGCTCAGGCACAGTAGCATGCAGGGAGAGGGACTGTAAGAACAAGACTGGTAGCACCCGCGAGGCGTGCGTGACACCCATGCCTAGGGGGAGTCCCAGGAGGACACTGATGAGGCTGTTTTCTGAGCAGGGGTCAAGGGTCAGGGTTCACAGGCCAGAAGGGACCAGTAGCTCCAGAGCTGGACCTTGAGAGGGGCTGTCTCCTTCCCCTCCCAGGCAAAGCACTGGTGCTGGAGGGCCCCAAAACGGCACCTGAGCAAAATGACTTGTTTTAAAAGGGCCACACAGAGGAGCCCCAGGGACATGCTCCGACCTCTGAGGTGCCCTGCCCACCTCTACCCCCGGCCCCATCCCGGTCTCTCCTCCCCACCCTGGCAGAAAGCAGGCTGGGCTGCCCAGGGCGGTGGTGAGCTCCTGGAGGTGCATGAGCAGGAGTCGGTTGGGGAAGGGCCCCAGGCCCGAGAGCCTAGAGGGGCTCTGAAGGTGCTCTGAAGCTGACCTGGGAGTGGACGTCCGCTCCTGCCAGCCCTGCTGGGTGGCAGGAGCAGCCCTGCCCTGGCCACCTCCCTTCCTCCCACTCCCCAACCTGTTGCACGCCCTGCCAGCACCTGTCCTCGAGCCGGCCCACTCGTATGTGTGTGTGAGTGTGTAAATTCGGATAGCATGTCGCGTCCTGGGCAGTTCTGCCCCACACCTGTTCAGCTGGGCCCATAGCACCCCCATAACCTCTGGGTCACTCCTCTTGGGCACCTCAGATACCTATTTCCGTGATGGCTTCCTGCTCCCATGGGTGCTCCTGGAGGGTGGGTGCTTTGTTGTGCAGCCCAGCGGGAGGGGCTTGCTGCAAATAGAGGGCCTGCCTTTGGGGTGTTCACGATGGCGGGCGGGTGCTGCTGTCCTGCTCGGAAAGCCAAGCGATCTCTAGAAGCCCATTAACAACACGAGATACCAGTACACACCCCTGCTGAGAGACTAGAATCAGCTGGACAGCCCACGACTGAGGGGAGGTGGCGCCGTGGGGCCCCTGCTGGGCTGTGGGAGGGCGTGGGAATCCATAGCACGTTGGCAACTCACGTGGCAGGATCTGCTAAGGCCAAGCATGTGCCTACCCGTGACGCAAATGAGGCAAGAGCCTGCCGCCCAAAGGGGTGCGAGAGGACGTTCACGGCAGCTTTATTCCTTCTAACCCCGACGGCATGGACCAGAGGGTGGGTCCGTAATTGTGGTACGTCCATACAGTGGAATACGACTCAGCAACACCAAGGACAAATCGCCCGCACAGACGGACAGCACAGGCCATGGTGTGAGCACAGGAGCCGGACACACGGGTCTACACTGCAGGTTTCCACTTAGGTGAGGTCCAGGAACAGCCACACCAGTGGTCACGGAGGCCAGAGGCTACCTCTGGCTGAGGGTGTGGTGTTGACTAGGCAGGGACACAGAGGAGCCCTCTGGGGTGCTGGGAATGTTCCTGGCTCCGTGTGGGCGTTGATTACAAGGGCGAGCGTTTATGTCGGTCGGCAGGCTATACACTAGGTGAGTGTGCGCTGTGTATGTTATTCCACAATAAGAAGGCTGAAGGAAAACATGTTTAAAAGCTTATAAAAGGGCTTCTGAGATTCTAATTAGCTCCTTTAAACCCCACCGTAGCTTTTTCAGCAAAAACCAGAGAGGCCACATGGCCTAGGTTTCCTACAGTACCCCAGAGGATCTTAATTTATGGGCAGAGGGGCCCGGGGCAAAGCCTGTCACAGCTGTACAAGGAGCAGAGAGCAGAGCTAGCCGGCCTCCCCTGGCCCAGGGGTAGGTGAGCCAGGAGGTGAGCCCCCCGGAGGGCAGCACCAGTACCCCTCCTCCCCCAAGACTTTCCAGCCAAGCTGCAGCCAGCCCCGATCTTCTGCTGGCTCCTGGAACCTGCCCTGCCCGGCGGTGTTTCCAGCACTTACGGCTGGGAGCTGAGCCGCACCTCGACTCCAGGAAAATATTTGTTCAGGGACTTGGCACCAGCCGAGGAGGAAATAAGAGCCACCTTGGAGCCGAGCGGGCGGCCCTGCTGTTGGCTGCTGTACCTGCTCCTCCAGCTCGCCTCAGCGGGCCCTGGAGCTGGCGTCTGGGACCAGCCAGGGAATCCCGCCTCACACAGGCCTGCTACAGGGAGAGGCCCCGGTGCCGGGGGCTCACCCCTTCAGCTCGGTCAAGAATGCCACACAACCTAGTATGTGCCAGGCATAGCACTGGGCCCTGGCCATTGTTGGTGATCCAGGGTCTGGCCTTACCTTCAGGGCCGTTGTGAGGTAGTAAGGGTGGCTTGGCCACGAGAAGGCCATCATGGCGCAGTCAAGGCATTGGCGTGACAGGATCAAGGCCAGAGCTTGGGGGTGCCCCGGTGGGCACTGCATCAGCTGACAGGAGAAGGGGCCATGTGAAGGGGCGATCCTGAGGGGAAAGAGCATTCCGGGCCACTGGAA